ACACTGGGGCTACAGGCCACACGCAAGTCTGAAGTCCAGCAGGGCGGTCAAATCTCAATGCTCCAAAATGATCTCCTGTGACTCCATGTCTCACATCCAGGTCATACTGATGTAAGAGATAGGTTCCCATGTCTTGGGCAACTCTGCCCCTTTGGCTTTGCAGGGTACAGTCTCCCTCCTGGCTACTTTCACAGGCTGGCCTTTAGTATGTGCAGCTTTTCCAGGTGCACGGTGCAAGCTGTCAGATTTACCATTCTGGGGTCTGGAGGTTGGTGGCTCTCTTCTCACAGCTCCACAAGGTGGTGCCCCAGTAGGGACTCTCTGTGAGGCCTCCAGCCCCACATTTTCTTTCCATACGGTCCTAGCAGAGTTTCTCCATGAGGACCCTACCCTTGCAGCCAGTATCTGCCTGGACATCCAGGCATTTCCGTACATCTCCTGAAATCTAGATGGAGGTTCCGAAACCTCACTTCTTGACTTCTGTGTACTTGCAGGCCCAATACCACATGGAAGCTGCCAAGGCTTGAGACTTGCATCCTCTGAAGCCACAGCCCGAGCTCTACATTGGCCCTTTTCAGCTGTGGCTGGAGCAACGGGGACACAGGACGCCAAGTCCCTAGGCAGCACACAGCACGGGGACCCTGGGCCTGGCCCACAAAACCAGTTTTTCCTCCTAGGCCTCTGGGCCTGTGATGGGAGGGGCTGCTGTGAGGACTTCTGACATTTTCCCCACTGTCTTGGGGATTAATATTTGGCTCCTTGTTACTTATGCAAATTTCTGTAGCCAGCTTGAATTTCTCCTCAGAAAATGGGATTTTCTTTTCTATCACATTGTCAGGCTACAAATTTTCCAAACTTTCATGCTCTACCTCCTTTATAAAGCCAAATGCATTCAACAGCACCCAAGTCACCTCTGGAATGCTTTGCTGCTTAGAAATTTCCACCAGATACCCTAAATCATCTCTCAAGTTCAGAGCTCCACAAATCTCTAGGGCAGGGACAAAATGCTGCCAATCTATTTGCTGAAATAGAACAAAAGTCACCTTTGCTCCAGTTCCCAACAAGTTCCCCATCTCCACCTGAGACCACCTCAGCCTAGCCTTTGTTGTCCATGTTGTTATCAGCATTTTTGTCAAAGCCATTCAACAAGTTTCTAGGAAGTTCCAAACTTTCCCACATTTTCCTGTCTTCTTCTGAGCCCTCCGAACTGTTCTAGCCTCTACCTGTTAACCAGTTCCAATGTTGCTTCTACATTTTTGGGTATCTTTTCAGCAATACCCCACTCCTGGTACCAGTTTACTTTGTTAGTCCATTTTCATGCTGCTAATAAAGACATACCCAAGACTGGGCAGTTTTCAAAAGAAAGAGATCTAATGGATTTACAGTTCCACATGGCTGGGGAAGCCTCACAATCATGGCAGAAGGCAAGGAAGAGCAAGTCATGTCTTACATGGATGGCAGCAGGCAAAGAGAGGAGCTTGTGTGCAGGGGAATGCCCCTTTTTAAAACCATCAGGTCTCATGTGAGACTTATTCACTATCACGAGAACAGCATGGGAGAGACTTGCCCCCATGATTCAATTACCTCCTACTGGGTCCCTCCCACAACACATGGGAATTCAAGATGAGCGTTGGGTGGGGACACAGCCAAACCATATTACACCTGTAATCCCAGCATTTTGGAAGGCTGAAGCAGGATGATTGCTCAAGCCCAGGAATTCAAGACCAGCCTGAGCAATATAGTGAGACTTCCGCTCTACAAAAAATTAAAAAAGTTAGCCAGCATGGTGGTGTGGGCCTGTAGTTCCTGCTACTTGGGAGGCTGGCATAGGAGCATCTCTTGAGCTTAGGAAGTTGGGGCTGTAGTGAGCTACAATTGCACTGCAGTCCAACCTAGCTGGCAGAACAAGACCCTGTCTCTAAAAAAAAGGGAGAAAAGGCCAGGTACAGTGGTTCACACCTGTAATCCCAGCACTTTGGGAGGCTGAGGCGGGTGAGGTAGATCACAAGGTCAGGAGATTCAGACCATCCTGGCCAACATGGTGAAACCCTGTCTCTACTAAAATACAAAAATTAGCTGGGTGTGGTGGCACATGCCTGTAGTCCCAGCTACTCAGGAGGCTAAAGCAGGAGAATTGTTTGAACCCGGGAGGTAGAGGTTGCAGTGAGATGAGATTGTGCCACTACACTCTAGCCTGGGGACAGAGCAAGACTCCATCCCAAAAAAATAAAAAGGAGAAAGAAAGCTTGGAGAATGGATTGGTAGAGGGCAAGACTAGAGGTTCATACAAGCAGGTGGGAGACTGCTACCACCATCAAGGTGTGAGCTGATGGCACTGAGTGGAGCCACTCTTTGGGGTGAAGGGGAGCAGATGGAAGTGAAATGGAGAGAAAGCAGGGATTTGGAGGAGAGCCAGGTTATGGTCAAGGCAGAGACCTGTTAGGAGAGATTCAGTAACAAGTTTGCAGATATGTGGGTCTCTGTCAAAACAGGGGTCTTGGGGAAGAATTTATCAAGTGTTTCCTCATATATATACATACATATATTTTTTTTATTTTTTTATTTTTCAAATTTTGAGACAGAGTCACACTCTGTCACCCAGGCTGGAGTACAGTGGCGCCATCTTGGCTCACTGCAGCCTCTGCCTCCCAGGTTCAAGCGATTCTTCTGCCTCAGCTTTCCGAGTAGCTGGGACTATAGGTGCGCACCACCACTCCCAGCTAATTTTTTGTAGAGCTGGGGTTTCACCATGTTGGCCAGGATGGTCTTGATCTCCTGATCTCGTGATCTGCCCGCCTCAGCCTCTCAAAGTGCTGGGATTACAGGCGTGAGCCGCGGCTGTCTGCCTGTTTCCTCATGTTTTAATCGCACATGTTCCATTTCACGAGTTATCGTTATCTGTTTTACCAGGCTTCTGTTGAAAGTGCTTTCCAGCCTTTTCTGTTACCAGTGGCTCTCCTGCCATGTTGCAGGGCGTGTCTGTGTCGATAGGATTGCCCTGGGCCGTGAGAGCGCGCCGCCACAGCATTCCCCCTGCAGGCTCTCCCGCTCACCGGCAGCAGGCTCAGCCCCCTCTTCCTTGGCGCTCAGCTGTCCTTGCCGTGGCTGGCGCTCCCACGTCCTTGGCCCTCCTTTTCCCCGTGGCTTGGGGGCGCCCCGTGGCAGCTCTTCATCGTGTGCTGGATCCTCCTGTCTCCCTGTCTTCCTGAAGTGCAGACCATCTTCTAGCATGGGCTGTCCTCTCTCTTCCTGGATGGTCTCATCACGTCTTAAGGCTTTAATCACAGTAAATATCTAAAAATAAAGTTTTAGCCACCTATTCTGGCAGGTTTTTAAATTATTATTATTGTAGGGACAGGGTCTTGCTATGTTGCCCAGGCTGGTCTTAACCTGGACTCAAGTGGTCCTCCCACATCAGCCTCAGAGTGCTGCGATTACAGGCATGAACTACTGTGCCCAGTTGGACATACATAACTTTTGGAGGACACAGTTCAACCCCCCACATGTCCTAACCATACTTCGATGATGGCCAAATTTGTGTTTCGAGTCTAGACTCCCTTACTCAGAGTTTTAATGTGGGTGTCTGAGAAGCATCTCAAACCTAAAATGTCCCAGCATGCTCCCCCCTCCGAGGCCACAGAAGCTGCTCCTGTTGACTGTGCCTCTTCTCTTGAACCACTGATTGTGCCCTCTCTCATGCCCGTTCACTGTGCCCCTCCCTTGTACTCGTTGACTGTGCCCCCTCCCTTGTACCCATGACTTTGCTCCCTCCCTTTTACCCATTGTCTGTGCCCTCTTGATGGCTCCAGAATGATGCTTTTAAGGGCGAGTCCTAGCTCAGCCTCTGGCCATCTCAGTGGCTGTGGCCACATTGCTCAGGCTTCTCAGGTGTAAGTGACATCACAGCAGTGCCTCCCCAGGTGTTGTGAGGGCACATGGTGCTAGGATGGCTCCTGTGCTCAGGAGGTGGCCTGGCTGCTGCCACTGTTGCTGCTGTGAGCACCCGACTCAGAGTTCCTTTTAACCACCTCATTCAGGACAAGGTGGTAGTCCGGCATCCTGCAAGGCTCAGGCAGGACTTCTTTCCATTTCACACGGTCTCCTAAAGTGCTGCTTTCCTTGATGTTCTTGCTAGTTCAGAACAAGTGGCACGACTGCCCTTGACCTCTACATGATCTTCTCAGGGCGGCCCAGACTCTGAATGTCTGTGACCTGCATCAGCAGTGGCGAGACCGTGCCGGCTGTGGTCCCACCTGGTGCCCTCCCCGTCTCTGCAGGTGCTGCTCATGTTCCTGCTCCATCCTTCCAGCTCATCAGTGGCATTTTGTGGTTTTCTCTTGTCATTAAGCAAGTGTGCCGATACTTACCTGTCTGTAGGACGTGCGTGTGTTTACAGGCATGCCCGCCCCCGTCGCCCGGAGCACCACATTCCCATCCTGTCTAGGCCTCTGTGTTAGCCGTTTGTCTCTTTCAAACACCAAACACCCTGATCTCAGTGTGCCTCTTGAGTCTCGGCTGAAATAGCATCTTCTCAGGGAGGCCTGCTCTGACCACACGGCCCGGGAAGGCAGCCAGGCACCCTCTCACTTCACCCTGTGCCCATCCTTGGCCCTGTGCATTGTGTCTTCTCCTTGGCTGGTTTGTTCCAGGAGGGCTGAGGCCCTGGCTGTCATGCTCACTGCTGCCCCTTGGGCCCAGCACACTGCCTGGCGTGTGCAGACATTGATTTCATGTTAGCTGGGCAATGAACGACTGGCTGAAAATGTAATAGCAAGTCAGGGCCCTGCACAGGAAAATAAGTGCTACGTCAGTGAAGGGCTGCTAAGTAGGATTTGGCTCATCACATACTGCTGAGGCTAACTTTTTTCTCTCCGTGTAAAAATAGGAATTTTAAAAAATCGGATGTTATGGAATGAAGGAGGCAAAACAAGAAACAAAACAAAACCAAAAAAAATTGCTCTACGACTATTAACTGATGTTTTTCTGGTTTTGTTCCCCAGACACCATTTGCTTTTCACTCAAGATGATTTGATGTCTTATAGAACTCTGGTGAACCATGATGGCTACACAGACATTAAGTATAGACAGCTATCAAGATGGGCAACAGGTGAGCTTGAACTTGATTCTGCATTCTGGCTACAAATCAACCCGGCACTCAAGCATGGACATTGCTTTGTATACTTATAATTCAATTGCCATGAGATTGCATGTTCAGTATTAGTGTATTACGCATTTATTGTACGTTTGTGTTCAGAAGACTATGCCATAGAATAATTAATATTATTTCCTTAACTGATACCGAAATTGCCAGGACTCTTGACTTCCCTAAGTCATGACAGTTTCTTGGGAATTTACTGTCAGTGTTAACGTCAGTGTTAGTTAGCATTGTTACTTTGAAAGAAAACCTGGCTGATTTTCATGATGACAGGTTCCCATGTTGACTGGTGGCTCTTCTGAGTCTCTAACTGAATCAGCTTTTGAATGGGAATCCTGTGGCTTCGTCTCCCTAGTAGGCATGAGAGGGACTGTCCCAGCAATGGATTCACAAGGTTCCCACGCTCCATCTTTGTACCTTGCTCAGATGGTTGTGCCGTACACAGGCAGCTCGCCATTGCCCTCCCACCATAGATGAGACTTTGTTTTCCTGGGAGCTGTAGTGTTTGTGCTTTTGAATATCTGAGTGTTTTGTGTTCTGTGACCTGAATGAATTGAGTAGCAAGAGGATTGAGGCTTGGCTGAGGCCCTTGCTATCTTTCTTGGCCTTCGATCTTGTTAAACACTGTGTTCTCCACTTTCACGCTGCTAAGACATACCTGGAAAAAACAAAAACCAAAACCAAACACTGCGTTCTGAGTCCACTGGCATTTGGCTCATGATCCCACTGCCTCTGGAGCCAGTGAAGGGATTTGGCCCTACCCTTTCCTTTCCAGCAGGCAGGGTCAGTGCAGTGCCCTCGGCTCTCCTCCCCACCTTGAGGACTTCGATGGCAAGAGTCAGACTCCGGGTGACTCACCAGAGCCATGTTGATGAGTTCTGAGGAGGGATTAGAAGCTGAGGCGCTGGAACCTGTTTTCCTGGAGGTTGATTTTACCAAGCAGTCCTTGTTTGGTGCCTGTTGCAGATTTTTGGTGGTGGTAGTGTTCTTTGCTTTGTATAGCAATTAAAGGAGGGAAATTTGTGTAGTCACCCTGCTTCCTTAGCCTGGAAGTCCTTAGTCCTTTGGTATTTCCAATTGACTTTTTTTTTTTTTTTTTTTTTTTTTTTGAGACGGAGTTTTCGCTCTTGTTACCCAGGCTGGAGTGCAATGGCGCGATCTCGGCTCACCGCAACCTCCGCCTCCTGGGCTCAGGCAATTCTCCTGCCTCAGCCTCCTGAGTAGCTGGGATTACAGGCACGTGCCACCATGCCCAGCTAATTTTTTGCACTTTTAGTAGAGACGGGGTTTCACCATGTTGACCAGGATGGTCTCGATCTCTCGACCTCGTGATCCACCTGCCTCAGCCTCCCAAAGTGCTGGGATTACAGGCTTGAGCCACCGCGCCTGGCCTTTTTTTTTTTTTTCTAAAATGCAAATCTAATAATGTCCCTCCTGAGCTCTCCAGTGACTCCCTGTGGATTCCTGTGGGTTTCATGCAAAGACTGAGCTGCCCTGTGGCCCGAATCAGGCAGCCGCTCTGGACCCCAGGCCATCCCCAGCATCTCTGCCTGGCATGCCTTGGGCACCTCTCTGCCTGCCATGGGCACAGTATTCACTGTTCCCATCACTCTTCTCTCTCCTGCCTGCCAGGTCTTTGCTCTGACCCCACCTCTGCCTCCTGTGCACGGTGACCACAGCCTGGGACAGCAGTGCTTGCTACCGGCCACCTCCTCCCAGGCAGCTGTGCCAGGTGCAGATGACACTGGGAGTGCTGCCCTTTTCACCCCTGAGTGCTTCCCCAGGGCCTTGGAAGTGTTTTATCAGCATTGTTTTAAATAAACATGGAAATATATCTACAGCATAGATATATCATAATTATTTTGCAATTTTTCCAAGGTTTAACACATTTAGGTTTCTCTCTTGTCATAATCATTTTTTTTTTAAATACTGAAATGAATCTTTTAAGGCTTTTTATTTATTTATTTTTATTTTATTATTTATTATTTTGAGACGGAGTTTTGCTCTGTTGCCCTGGCTGGTGTGCAGTGGTGCGATCTCAGCTCCCTTGAACCTCTATCTCCCAGTTTCAAGCGATTCTCCTGTCTCAGCCTCCTGAGTAGCTGGGATTACAGGTGTATGCCACCATGCCCGGCTAATTTTTTTGTGTTTTTAGTAGAGATGCGGTTTTACCATGTTGTCCGCACTGATCTCGGACTCCTCACCTCAGCCTCCCAAAGTGCTGGGATTGCAGGTGTGAGCCACCGTGCCTGGCCTTTTTTTTTTTTTTTTTTTGAAATGGAGTCTCGAACTGTCACCCAGGCTATAGTGCAGTGGTGCGATCTTGGCTCACTGCAATCTCCGCTTCCTGGGTTCAAGCAATTTTCCTGCCTCAGCCTCCTGAGTAGCTGGGACTACAGGCATGTACCACCATGCCCAACTAATTTTTGCGTATTTTTAGTAGAGGCAGGGTTTCACTATGTTGGCCAGGATGGTCTTGATCTCTTGACCTCATGATCTGCCCACCTTGGCCTCCCAAAGTGCTGGGATTACAGGTATGAGCCACCTTACCCAGCCTTTTTTGTTTGTTTGTTTCTTTTTTGAGCTGGAGTCTCACTCTGTCACCAGGCTGGAGTGCAGTGGCATGATTTGGCTCACTGCAACCTTCTCACAGGTTCAAGCGATTCTCCTGCTTCAGCCTCCCAAGTAGCATGGACTATAGGTGCCTGCCACCACACTCAGCTAATTTTTGTATTTTTAGTAGAGATGGGGTGGCACCACGTTGGCCAGGATGGTCTTGATCTCTTGACCTCATGATCTGCCCTCCTCAGCCTCCCAAAGTGCTGGGATTATAGGTGTGAGCCACTGCATGCAGCCTTTTTAAGGCTTTTTATACATGCTGGCAGATCACCTTACAGAAATACTGTGTTCACTTAGGCTTCCTTGCTTGTATTTTTTTTAAGAGAAAGAAAAACAGTTTTCCTAGTGTGTTGTCCCATTTAAAGGCAGCAGAATAGAAGTTATCTTACTCCAAAAACAAGAAGTTGGAGGGAAGAGAGCACAGGGCTGGAGGATGTAAGAGGCGTCCTGTGGGGTGGGCGTTCATGGCAGGCCCCAGTCTGTCTGGTCGGTGGGGATGGCCCCGCCCCCACTGCCCCAGGCTGCTTCCTCAAGGGACAGAAGCATGGCCAAATCCACCGTGGGAGAGATGGCCTGGTCCTGGTCCTGAGGAAGCTGAGGTCACACCGTCTAATCTGTTGCTCATAGATAGCTAGAGTTTATTTATTGCCACAAAATTTTGTTTTTGCAAACTGATTTTTTTAATGATTTAAATACTTTTTACCTAAATGACAAAGGCATCACTTGTTTAAAGCAGTTTAAATGATAGTATCTTTTAAGGCTTTAAGTAAACACAGCTGGTCTTTCCCTTTCTGAATGCAGTGAAATTTTTATGGCTATGTTGGCTGACGTTTGAGGGTAGATATGGGAGAAGTTCAGCCCTGTCACAAATATGTCGCTGTGGAGTTAAGTTGTTTCTGTGACATGGTGAGAAGACCTTAGACTATTTGTTTATGCTTCTCTGGCTGTCGTGTTATTAAACGTGAGGATATATAGCAGTAGATGGGAGAGTAAGGGTACACGTGGCGGTTCCCTTCAGTAGGGCATCGTCAGTGTTATTTTAAAAACAGTGAGCATTTCACAGACATTGGTTATCTCAGTTTTTAGGCAGTTTGGAAATTTGACCTTTATCTGCCTTAAAGCACATTAAATTGGAAGCTGTTTTGCTGATAGTATTCTTTCCATGGATTGCAGTCACATCGCTGTCCGGCAGTTCCCCACTCCGATTGCATTCCTGTGGAATACCTAGTAGTAGTTTGTGTTTGGTAATAAGAATTATCTTCCTCCTTTTACAGATGCAAGTAGTAACAGAGTTAAAGACAGAACAAGATCCAAACTGCTCTGAACCTGATGCAGAAGGAGTGAGCCCTCCCCCTGTGGAGTCTCAGACCCCGATGGATGTGGACAAGCAGGCCATTTATAGGTAGCGCCAGGGGTGCTGGCTGTGGGGGCGCTCAGAGGAGTGAGGAGGGCCGACGAGTTTGTTAAAAGGAACACTACAGAGCTGGGTACAGTGGCTCACGCTTGTAATCCCAGCACTTTGGGAGGCTCAGGCGGGTGGATCACCTGAGGTCGGCAGTTTGAGACCAGCCTGACCAACATGAAGAAACTCTGTCTCTACTAAAAATACAAAAATTAGCTGGGCCTGGTGGCTCATGCCTGTCATTCCAGCTACTGGGGAGGCTGAAGCAGGAGAGTCGCTTGAATCCAGGAGGTAGAGATTGCAGTGAGCTAAGATTGTGCCTTTGTACTCTAGCCTGGGCAACAAGAGCGAAACTGTTTTGTTTTTTTTTTAAGTAGTTAGCATTTAATGAACCTCCCTCCATGTGGCTTCAAGCCACCAGGACACAGCCCCTGCCCTGCCCGCCTGCCTACCTCAATCTTCTCCTGCTGAGGAATTTGGCCTTTACGATGACAGGCTGTTTTGGAAGCTTTCCCTTTCCAGGAACTTTGTAGTGCCCGATCGCACCACAGCAGTGATGGGAGCAGCCCCCGTCTTGTTTTTAGCAGCATTCACCTGTGTCTGCTCATGGACAAAAGTCCACAATTTGTCAGGGTTGACAGTTGGGCAGAAGCTGTGGTTCCTCTTTAAGTGATAATGCCTCATTCCAACTTTCCCAAAGTAACCTGGGTGCTGCTATTTGTCGAAGTTGATCCTGTGGTGTGATGCACATACCATCAGCATTACCGCAGCCTCTGGGGTGCTTCTGGGGCTTGCTGTGGCCGTGGCTCATGTGGCCCTGAAGTTTTAGGTCTTCCTCAGTCTGGATGGCATGTTGGTGGCCCAGGCAAAAGAGAAACATGGAGAAATCCTGTCTCTACTAAAAATATAAAAATTAGCTGGGTGTGGTGGCACATGCCTGTAATACCAGCTATTCGGGAGGCTGAGGCAGGAGAATCGCTTGAACCCAGGAGGCGGAGATTGCGGTGAGCCGATACTGCACCGTTGCACTCCAGCCTGGGCAACAAGGGCGAACACTGTCTTAAAAAAAGAAAAGAAAAAGGAACACTAGAGTTAGTAGAAAGGCAGAGTCGTGAGGTGCCTTTTGATGTGATGACTGCTTGGCTGAAAATGTTCTCAGATTACAGTGTTCTTTCTGGCCGGGCGCGGTGGCCCACGCCTGCAATCCCAGCACTTTGGGAGGCTGAGGCAGGCGGACTACTTGAGGTTAAGAGTTTGAGACCAGCTTGGCCAACGTGAGGAAACCCATCTCTACTAAAAATACAAAACATTAGCCAGGCATGGTAGCACATGTCTGTATTCCCAGCTACAAGGGAGGCTGAGGCAGGAGAATAACTTGAACTGGGGAGGCAGAGGTTGCAGTGAGCTGAGATCTTGCCACTGCACTCTAGCCTGGGTGACAAGAGCGAAACTTTGTCTCAAAGAAAAAAAAAAAAAAAGATGTTATTTCTAATACCTAAAAATAAAGTTTTAGAATATAAATCTATAAACATGAATTTTGTATGACCTCGCAAAAAGAAATATTCAGGCCCAGATGATTTTACTGAGAATTCTACCAACATGTAAAGAAGAAAGAGCAAGTCCGCAGTGTCTCAGGAAGGAGAGGAGGGGGGCTTCCCACCTCACCGTGTAACTGACATCACCTGATGCCAAGACCAAAGACAGTACCACGTCAGGAAAATGCAGGCCAAATGGCCTCATGAACTTAGATGTAAAACTCATCAATCAATACTAAGACATCAGTTCTAGCAGTAGTAAACAGAATAATACCTAGCGACCGAGTCAAGATTTTCCTGGGAATGCAAGACTGCTTTAGTATTTAACAGTCAGTCAGGCCAGGCATGGTGGCTCACGCCTGTAACCCCAGCACTTTGGGAGGCTGATGTGGATGGATCACCTGAGGTCAGGAGTTCAGGACCAGACTGGCCAACATGGCGAAACACCGTCTCATCAAAAAAGTACGAATATTAGCCGGGTGTGGTGGCGCATGCCTGTAGTCCCAGCTACTCTGGAGGCCGAGGTGGGAGAGTCACTGGAACCTGGTAGGTGGAGGTTGCAATGAGCTAAGATCGTGCCACTGCACTCCAGTCTGGGTGACAGAGTGAGATACTATCTAAAAAAAAAAAAAGTTTTTTTGTAAAGTTCAGCATAGAGTTATACATGACTGTTGCTACCAAGCTAGCTTTGAAATTTACTGCTTTTGGTCAAAATATACTCTTCAGCCAGTGCTTTCTTCCAGCTGGTTGTCTGCCTGCCTGCTCTGTGTCATAAAATGGGGGTCCCTTACTGCGTTATCAAGGAGAAGGCAAGACTGGGATGTCTAGCCCACAGGAAGACCTGCACCACTGTCACCTCCACGCAGGGTAACTCGGAAGACAAAGGCGCTTTGGCTAAGCCGGTGGAATCGAACAGGACCAATGACCATGACAGATACAGGGAGATCCGCCATCACTGGGGAGGCAGTGTCCTGGGTCCCAAGTCCGTGGCTGGCATCGCCAAGCTCGAAAAGGCAAAGGCTAAAGAGCTTGCCACTAAACTGGGTTAAATGTGCACTGTTGAGTTTTCCGTACATAAAAATAATTAAAACAATACACATTTTTCTTAAAAAAAATTTATGTATATGAGCAGACTCAGCAGTTCTGCTCCTATGCACATATGTACCCAAGACAAATGAAAGCAAAGTCCACCAAACATGTGTCCGTGAATCTTCACAGCACTGTCTGTCATGGCCAAAAGGTAGAAATGACACCCGTGCCCATCAACTGATGAATGAACAGACACATTATGGCATCTCCATGTGGTGCAGTCATATTCAGCATAAAAAGTAATGGAGTGGCCAGGCGTGGTGGCTCACGCCTGTAATCCCAGCACTTTGGGAGGCCAAGGCAGGCGGATCACCTTAGGTCAGGAGTTTGAGACCAGCCTGGCCAAAATGGTGAAACCTTGTCTCTACTAAAAATACAAAAATTAGCTGGGCATGGTGGGTGCCTGTAGTCTCAGCTTCTTGGGGAGGCTGAGTAGGAGAATCACTTAAACCCAGGAGGCAGACGTTGCAGTGAGCTGAGATCGTGCCACTGTACTCCAGCCTGGGCAACAGAGTGAGAGTCTGTCTCCCCCACCCCAGCCTCCGCCAAAAAAGGGATAAAGTATTGATACCTGTTACAACATTGGTAAGCCTTAGACATTATGCTGTGGGAAACAAGCCAGACACCATGGTCACATGTTAGACGATTCACATTTATATGAAGTGTATTAAAAAAAAAAAAAAAAAGAAATGTCTAGAAGAGGCAAACATATAGAGATACCAAGTAGGTTTTAGTAGGCTGGAGTTTGGGAAAATGTGGAAATGACTGCTATTGGATACAGAGTTTCTCTGGGGGATGATGGAAGTGTTCTAAAGTTGACTGTGGCAATGGCTGCACAACTCCAAAAACCGCTGAGTTGTGTACTTTAAATGGATGAACTGTATGGTATGTGAATTTTAACTCAACAGAGGTGTTAACATGAAGTAGTGCAGGAGTGCATGCGAAGACATTCTCATGGGGATGTAGAATGTCAATTTCTTCTTTTTTCTCTTTGCTCCTCAGGCATCCACTATTTCCATTGTTAGCTTTGTTGTTTGAAAAATGTGAGCAATCCACACAGGGCTCTGAGGGCACAACTTCGGCCAGTTTTGACGTAGACATTGAAAATTTCGTGAGGAAGCAAGAGAAGGAAGGGAAGCCCTTTTTCTGTGAAGATCCAGAAACTGACAATTTAGTGAGTACAATACATTTTATTTTTATTTTTCAAAATGTGAATCTGTTCATGAAATTTAAACTTCTAAGTAGAACTTTAGATGGCTTGTAGTTCTTCTAAAGGAAAGACTCCTGCAACCATAAAATAACTTACTTTTATGGTGTGTGTAATATGGCTATCCCCGCCGGGCGCGGTGGCTCAAGCCTGTAATCCCAACACTTTGGGAGGCTGAGGCGGGTGGATCACGAGGTCAAGAGATCAAGACTATCCTGGTCAACGTAGTGAAACCCCGTCTCTACTAAAAATACAAAAAATTAGCTGGGCATGGTGGCGCGTGCCTGTAATCCCAGCTACTCAGGAGGCTGAGGCAAGAGAATTGCCTGAACCCAGGAGGCGGAGGTGGCGGTGAGCCGAGATCGTGCCACTGCACTCCAGCCTGGGTAACAAGAGCGAAACTCCGTCTCAAAAAAAAAAAAAAAATATGGCTATCCCCAAGTCTTCAGCCTTCTCTAGGTATTTATTTAGTTAGTTTTTAGTTTTAAATTTATTTTATTTTTGTTAGACACAGGTCTTGCTGTGTTGCCCAGGGTGGTCTCAAACTCCTAGCCTCATGCAGTCCTCCATCCTCAGCCTCTGAAGGCCCAACCTACTCTTTCCTTTAAAAATCAAATAAAATGAGCCAGGTGTGGTGGCTCGTGCCTGTAATCCCAGCACTCTGGGAGGCCGAGGCGGGCAGATCATCTGAGGTCGGGAGTTCGAGACCAGCCTGACCAATGTGGAAAAACCCTGTCTCTAATAAAAATATAAAATTAGCTGGCGTGGTGGCACATGCCTGTAATCCCAGCTACTCGGGAGGCTGAGGAAGTAGAATTGCTTGAACCCGGGAGGTGGAGGTTATGGTGAGCCAAGATTGCGCCGTTGCACTCCAGCCTGGGCAAGAAGAGCGAAACGCTGTCTAAAAATAAATAAATAAAATCATTTGAGCCTCCTTGCTAAATGGGCACGGGGATTGGGTTCTCTGTACAGTGGCTGTAAAGGTCGGTGGAGTGGGGCTGGGGTGCTTGGGCAGCCAGCCTGTGCCCCACATCTGTCCTTTGTCTATCATGGACATGGACACAGGCTTTGTTCTCCAAGGCAGCTCTGTGTCAGGGTTGACACTGATTTGCAGTGCCCTCCTCCCAGGGCCAGGGTTCCAAAATCCAAAGTTTTCTGTGTCCTCCCAAGGCAAGCGAGAACTCCTTGGTTCCATCGACACTGGAGTGTCCTGAGCGAGCTGCGCCTGAGGCCCCTGTACGGCACTGTCAGCATGGTCTGGACAGACCGCGCTCTGAGTCTGCTCTCCTACTGGAGTATAACCACGTGTTTGCGTCCCAGATCTGGATACACAAGAACCAGCATCAGGGAATCTTCACTGGGTTCCCTTTGAGCCATCTTGGTCCCACATCAAAACCCTGGTCAGGGCCTTCAGCAGACAGGGTTTTTTGAAAACTCATTTTTCCTGAATAAATTGCTGAGATCTTAGTTTTTTAAAAAATTCTCAGTATATGCTCAACGCTTACCATCAAATAGATTTTGTGGGGAATTACCTGACTTGGGTCTGTCTCCTTCTCCCTGAAATGAGACTGACAGGGCCTGCTCTTTGGGGGTGAGGATCAGAAGCTCTCTCCGCCCGAGTCTGTGGTCTGCGTCCATCTTCCCATTGGCCCACGCCGGGCTTGGCCCAGTGAGTAGGGCACAGGTGTCCTCTGCCCCCCACCAGGCTGGCAGGGGCCAGGGTTCTCCTGACTGGTGAGTGTTTAGCACAGGGCCTTCCAGAGCTGGACGTGCCATCATTTTTGTTATTGATTGATTCATTTATTTACCGCATAGATACCTATGATTACTACCACCAGGTTTACAGGTGAAGGAGCTGAGCCTCAGAGTTGCTTATTCATAGGCAGCTGGTGCTTATGATAATGGTTGCATTATTGGTATTATCTATTGCTGTGGGACAAATTACCCCAGAACATAGTAACTTAACACAAAACTATACAACTTTGGCCAGTGGCTCATGCCTATAATCTCAGCACTTTGGGAGGCTGTGCCAGGTGGATCACCTGAGGTCAGGAGTTCATGACCAGCCTGACCAATGTGGTGAAACCTAATCTTTACTAAAAATGCAAAAATCAGTTGGGATTACATGCCTGTAATCCCAGCTACTCGGGAGGCTGAGGCATTAGAATCGCTTGAACCCAGGAGGTGGAGGTTGCAGTGAGCTGAGATCGCACCATTGCACGCCAGCCTCCAGCCCGGGCAATAAGAGGAGAACTCTCTCAAAAAAATGAAAACAAAACAAAGCAAAACTATACAACTTTTAGAAAAATCACAAGAGAAAACCTTTAGGATCTAGGACTAGGCGAAGAGTTTTTAGCCTTGACACCAAAATTGCACTTGATGAAAATGTGGAACCACCTGGGGGGAGTATGGATGTATCCCTATTTTAGAGAAAGGAGTGGATGAGGTGAGTCACTTGTCCTGAGCAAGTGAGTGGCAGGGCTAGGCTTTGGCTCACAGCCCACACACCTAGCACCGGGACACGCTGAGGTCAGCACCACGCGCCTCTGTCTTCCCCGCACACCAGATGCAGCCGAATACCAAAGCCCAGGTCAGTGGCACTGGAGCAGCTCATCAGTTCATAGGATTCTGATGTGATTCCGCTTTGGTTACTGGCAGTGAAGATGGTTCCATCTAATGACAGAACTGGTATGTGTGATCATGATAACTTACAATGATGCTACTTTTTTCTCTGAAAGGCTTCATTTTCTCTGCTTTAGATGGTAAAAGCAATCCAGGTTTTGCGCATTCATCTTCTTGAGCTGGAAAAGGTTAATGAACTCTGCAAAGATTTCTGCAGTCGATACATTGCTTGTCTGAAGACGAAAATGAACAGTGAGACGCTGTTGAGTGGAGAGCCTGGAAGCCCGTACTCGCCTGTGCAGTCCCAGGTACTTACCCTGCGGTTCTTGCTTTACTTCTGCCACTGTGAACATCCGCATTGAGTCATGAGACCACCAGCTCTTTCAGAATTCACTGGGTCATCTTAATGGCATTCTACAAGAAGGACCCTCTAGTCTCTGACCCAGCCTGGTCTGGAAATGAACTCCCTCAGGGTATGAAGTGAATCCTCAGTCTGCCTACTGGGCCCCATCCCATGTTTATGGAGGGTACAATTCCATTCATTTCTTTCTTTTATTTCTTCTTAAAATAATTTTGTTTGTTCTTTTAAAAAAACTGTAAAGGGCCGGGCGTGGTGGCTCACACCTGTAATCCCAGCACTTTGGGAGGCCGAGGTGGGTGGATCACGAGGTCAAGAGATCGAGACCATCCTGGTCAACATGGTGAAACCCCGTCTCTACTAAAAATACAAAAAATTAGCTGGGCATGGTGGTGCGTGCCTGTAATCCCAGCTACTCGGGAGGCTGAGGCAGGAGAATTGCCTGAACCCAGGAGGCGGAGGTTGCACTGAGCCGAGATCGCGCCATTGCACTCCAGCCTGGGTAACAAGAGCAAAACTCTTTCTCAAAAAAAAACAAAAAACAAAAAACAAAAAACAAAAAAAAAACTGTGTAAAATATACTTAATATAAAATGTACCATCTTAGCTCTTTTACAGTGTACAGTTTGATGCATTAAGTATATTCACACTGTTGTGCAACCGTCAACGCCAGCCATCTCCAGAGCTTTCTCATCTTCTCAGACTCAAACTCTGACCCCTTAAACACTCATTCCCTAGTCCCCCTGCCCTTGCCTCTGGCACTCACCATTCTGTCTGTCTCTGAATTCGACCCCTCCAGGTCTCTCACGTTAAATGGAATTGTACAGTGCTTGTCCTTTTGGGTCCTTTGCTTATTTCATTGATCAGAATGCCTGTAGGGTTCATCCGTGAGGAAGCACTATGGTGTTTTAGCCATTCTGTTGATATGTAGTAATAGTAATATTTCTTTGTGGTTTTAATTTTCATTTCCCTGATGACTAATGATGTTGAACATTATGCCCTCTGTGTATTTTTCTTTTTTTTTTTTTTGAGATGGAGTCTTGCTCTGTCGCCCAGGCTGGAGTGCAGTAGCGCGATCTCGGCTTATTGCAACCTCCACCTCCCAGGTTCAAGCAATTCTTCTGCCTCAGCCTCCCGAGTAGCTGGGATTGCAGGTACCACCATGCCCAGCTAATTTTTGTATTTTTAGTAGAGTTGGGGTTTCACCATGTAGGCCAGGGTAGTCTCGAACTCCTGACTTTGTGATCCACCCACCTTGGCCTCCAAAAGTGCTAGGATTACAGGTGTGAGCCACTGCAACCGGCCCACTCCGTATTTTCTCTGGTAAAATATCTACTTATGTCTTTTGCCTATTTTCTAATTGGATTTTTTTTTAACTTCTGAATGTTGAGTGTTCTTTGCTTATTATAGATACTAGTTCTCTGGTGAATGGTTTGCAAATGTGTTTTCTCCAACTCTATAGTAGCTAAGTAGTTTTTTCATCCTCTTAACAGATCTTTTTAAGAGCCAACATTTTTAATCCGAATGAAGTTCAATTTATTAGATTTTCCTTTGATGGATCATTCTTTTAGTGTCAAGTCTAAGAACTCTTTGCCTATCCCTAGATATCAAAGATTTTGTCTTATGTTTTTTTCCTAAAAGTTTTTAAGTAGAGACAAAGTTTCACCACGTTGCCCAGGCTGGTCTCCGACTCAGGGGCGCAAGTGTGAACCACCATGCCCAGTCTCCTAAAAGTTTTATAGTTTTACATTTTACATTTATTTTAACTGTGATCCATATTGAGTTGATTTTTGTATGAAATGTGGGGTTCAGGTTGGTTTATGGATGTCCATTTGCTCCAGCACTATTTATTCAGAAAGCTCTTTTCTCCACGGAACAGCTTTTTGCACCGTTATCAAAAATCATTTGGGCATATTTATGGGGCCTGTCTGTCTTCTGCTCCATTGATCTGTCTGTCCCACAGTCTTGATTACTGTAGCTATGGAATGAGTCTCAAAACTGGGTAGACTGTTTCTGCCCACCCTGCTATTCCTTTTCAAAATTGTTTTAGCTATTCTGGTTCCTTGGCTGTCCACATATATTGTAGAATGCTCTTGTCTAGAGCTACAAAAAAATCTTACTGAGATCATGACAGGAATTGCATTACACCTATCTATCAATGTCGGGCCAATTGGCGTCTTTCTTGTGTTGAGTTTTCCAATCCACAAGTATGGCATGTCTCTCCACTGACTGACAACTCTGCTTTCCTCAGTGTTTTATAGTTTTTGACACGTTGTGTACATGCATTTTTAGAATTATACCCAAGCGTTTCGTTTCCTGGCCTGTGCCATCTTGGGTAAAAGTAGCAAGAGCAGACATCCTGGCCTCGTCACTGCCTTAGGGAACATCCTTCAGTCACTCACTGTTCATGATGTCAGTTGCAGGTTTTTTCTAGATCCTCCTTATCAAGTTGAGGAAGTTTCCCTATTTTGCTTTTCTTCTGAGAGATTTTATTTTGTTCAATTTTGTTAAGTGCTCTTCCAGCACTGATTGATATGATTATGTGATTTTTCTTCTTTAGCCTGTTAGTAATGGGCACTACATGGACTGGTTTTTTGAATCTTGAACAAGCTTTCTATTCCTGGAGTAAACTCCACTTGGTCATGGCACATAATTCTTTTCATATATATTTTTGGATTCTGTTGGTTAATATTCTGTTCAACACTTTTGTCTGTATTTATAGGGGATATTGGTGTATGGTTTTCTTTTTCATACTGTCTTTGGTTTTGGCATCAAGACACACAAACTTACATGAAACGGATTGGTAACTATTCCCTCCTCTTATTTTTTTCTGGAGATTATGTAGACCTGGTGTTAGTTCTTAAATGTTTGATAAGTAGAATTGGTCTATTTTACCTAAGATGTTAAATTTAGGAGTTGAGAGTTGGTCTGGTATTCTCTTTAGCCTTTTGGTGTTAGCAGGGTCTGTGGTGATCTCTGTTTCATTTCTGATAGTGGTCTTTTGTGTCTCTTTTTTTTTTTTGTCAGTCTCTCTAGAGGTTTATGTAATTTTTAAAGAACAGTATTTTGGGCCAGGCGCGGTGGCTCACGCCTATAATCCCAGCACTTTGGGAGGCTGAGGCGGGTAGATCATGAGGTCAAGAGATCGAGACCATCCTGGGCAACATGGTGAAACCCCGTCTCTACAAAAAATACAAAAATTAGCTGGGCATGGTGGTGCACGCCTGTAGTCCCAGCTACTTGGGAGGCTGAGGCAGGAGAATTGCTTGAACCCAGGAGGTGGAGGTTGCGGTCAGCCAAGATCGTGCCACTGCACTCCAACCTGGGTAACAAGAGCGAAACTCCATCTCAAAAAAAAAAAAAGAGCAGTATTTTATTTATTTATTTGTTTTGGGAGGTTGGTGTTTTTCTGTTTTTAGTTTCATTGATTTCACTCTGATCTGTATTATTTCCTTACTTCTGCTTTGGGTTCATGATGTTCCTCTTTTTCTAGGATCGGAAGGTGGGATCTGGGATGACTGATTTGACTGGCTTAACTTTTATGACGACCAGATTAATGTGGGCAGCTTTAAGCGTAGCCACTAAGCTTACACATTCTGCTCGATGATGGCCCACAGAGTCATCCCCTTGGGATTGTGTCCCATTATGCTATTTAACTGCTCACACATCAGGGCACGTGAGTGTGCCAGTCCCAGCACTGGAGGCTCCTCTGCCCTACCAGCTGCCTACCCGGGCGTCACATTCAGTGGATAAAGTGGTCCATGTGGATCTAACTCCAAATGCGTGGAGTCCTCCAGGGGCGTGGACAAACATTTGCCTGGAGCTCACTGCAGGCTGGGCACAGTCCCAAGCACCATACAAGCAAGAACACCAGGGAAAGCCAAGATCACACTTAGTCTGTGCTGGGGTCAAGAGTCAAGGTGGGTGCCAGGGGCCAGCTCCCCAGCACGGCTTGGAACACCTCAGTCCTGGTCCCTTCCAGTGCCCCCCAGGCCTGTGGTTTCATCTCTTGAATGTTTTCATTGGTCAAGGAGAGCTTGGTTCATGGAAGACGCAAGAGCCTACCAAGCCAAGTCTAATGAAGAAGGTGTGTGATCGGAAAGCAGGGTCTTCCTAGTCACACCTCCAGGCTGTGAGGCACGTGGAATATGCCTTCAGTGAGAGGAAGATAATCTCTTGGGAGCCACAGTGCAAGCTGACGTGGCAGGCGCGCTTGTGTTTGATACACAGTGCACGTCTCTTGGTTTCCGTGTGTGGTGTGTGCATTCCGAAAGCCGCGCCATCTCAGGATGCTCTTTCCCTCAAGCTTCTCTTTCCTTTTTTAATGGTGTCATTATGCCACTTATTTTGAATTTTTAAACATGCGTTTTCCATTTTCTAGTAATTTCTTCAACGTGTGTGTTCTGACTTGCAGCAAATTCAAAGTGCCATTACAGGCACTATCAGCCCTCAAGGAATTGTGGTGCCAGCGTCTGCGCTGCAGCAGGGAAACGTAGCCATGGCGACCGTGGCAGGTATGACAACGGGAAAACGACATGCTCTCCATGAGTTTTTTCAGGAAAAGGTCCTGTGTGTTAGAGGGACGGTATACATATGATTTTAAGTTAATGCCATTTTCTAATACAGCGATGGTAGAAGCTAGAGATCTCTGAATGCCTGTTTCTTGTTAATTCTCAATAACAAATATTTTATGCAAATTGTGTTTCTTTGTTTCTCTTCCAAAATATATCGGAAACAAAAAAGGTTTTATACAGGAGTTGAAAATATACAGCAAAAAGTTATTTGTCATTTTCAAATAACATAGCTTTTAATTGTGTTTTTAATAGCACCCTAAAAATCTTAAGTTTTGTCATTGATTGATGACAATCAAATAAAAATGCAGTCCTAGCATAAGTATTATTTGTAGAACAAAAACCACTGTAGGAAGGGGACAGATTCCAGAGTTCCCTTGTGGGTAGAGAACCCTGAAACACAAAGCATCGGCCGGGCGCGGGGGCTCACACCTGTAATCCCAGCACTTTGGGAGGCCGAGGCGGGTAGGTCATGAGGTCGGGTGATCAAGACCAGCCTGGCCAACATGGTGAAACCCCATCTCTACTAAAAATACAAAAACTAGCCAGGTGTGGCACGTGCCTGTAATCCCAGCTACTCAGGAGGCTGAGGCAGGAGAATCTCTTGTACCCGGGAGGCATAGTTCCAGTGAGTTGAGACCAGGCCATTGCACTCCAGCCTGGGTGACAGAGCGAGACTCCATCTCAAACAACAACAACAAAAACCAAACAAACAAAAACAAAAAACCCCACAAAGCATCATGAAAATGGGACACGGCATGGAGGGAGGGGTAGAGATTCACACCGAAAGACTTCACATAATAGCACGAAGGGAAACCTCCGTGGGAAAAGAAGGCACTGTTGATCAAAAAATATCGCCAGAATTGGCCGGGCGCGGTGGCTCAAGCCTGTAATCCCAGCACTTTGGGAGGCCGAGGCGGGTGGATCACGAGGTCAAGAGATCGAGACCATCCTGGTCAACATGGTGAAACCCCGTCTCTACTAATGGTGCAAAAAATTAGCTGGGCATGGTGGCGCGTGCCTGTAATCCCAGCTACTCCGGAGGCTGAGGCAGGAGAATTGCCTGAACCCAGGAGGCGGAGGTTGCGGTGAGCCGAGATCGCGCCATTGCACTCCAGCCTGGGTAACAAGAGCGAAACTCCATCTCAAAAAAAAAAAAAAAAAAAAAAAAAAAAAAAAAAAAAAAATCGCCAGAATAAAATAGTTATTATTTAGTACCCTGGGCCAAATCCTTAATATGTGCTAATTTTAGGGAAAAGTAGAAAGCAGAGGCTAGCAAAAGGAAGGGAGCCCTCACTCCTCAGGCCGGCCAGTGGTGTGTGAGCCGGGCTGTGTGGGCTGCTGGGCACACAGTGCCTGCCCACCTCCCACCCACTGCCGCAGGTGCCTGAGCAGCCCGCCCAGGGAGTTTGTTTTGATACTTTATAGTGACAAGTCAACTGGCAGAAGATTGTTGATCATTTGAGATGATTTAAAAGCTCATCAAACGAGATTTTATTCCTTTGTAAGTACATCAAGAAGCGCGCTGGGTGTAGTGGCTCACGTCTGTAACCCCAGCACTTTGGGAGGCCAAGGCAGGAAGATGAGTTGAGGCCAGGAGGTAGAGCCAGCCTGGGCAACAAGGCAGGATCCCTGTCTACAAAAGAAGGAAAAGGAAGAATGATTTAAATCGTTGAGACTTACAGGCAGCCTCATTTTTTTATTCTCCTTTCCAGGTGGCACAGTGTATCAGCCTGTCACGGTCGTCACTCCCCAAGGCCAAGTGGTCACGCAGACGTTGTCGCCCGGGACAATTAGGATCCAGAACTCCCAGGTGTGTGTGCCATTTTCTGGAAGGCTTTGGGGGCGAGTGCTGCCCACATGGGGCATAGGTTCAGCAAGCACGAGCCCTTCCCTCTGCCTGAAGAGCCTTTGTCTTGTGTAGCAATTTCTAGTTTCTCTGAAGGTCAGTGTTTTCTTTGTACTGTCATCTTTCTCATTGTAGAAAATTTGGAAAGTTTAGAAAATTCTGAAGAAACAGGAAAAAAGTCACTCATAGCCTCCCCCTCCTCCTCCCATCATCCAGCTCTAACGTTGGATTGTGTGTGTGTCCACCAGGGGCAGAGTTCTCATAGGCACACTCTCCCTGGGGTCCCCACAGAGGGCACAGCAGAACTACCAGGCAAGCTTTTCAGACCAGTGAGGCCAGCCCACGGCTCCACTGGGAGAATGTTGTTGGGCCGGGGCTTTCAGGCCTCACTGCCCTGTGGCTGCTGAGCCTTCCCCATCTTTGGTATGTGTTACCAGTTCTTACTTTAAGAACGTTGATTCTGGGCCGGGCGCGGTGGCTCAAGCCTGTAATCCCAGCACTTTGGGAGGCCGAGGTGGGTGGATCACAAGGTCAAGAGATCGAGACCATCCTGGTCAACATGGTGAAACCCCGTCTCTACTAAAAATACAAAACATTAGCTGGGCATGGTGGCGCGTGCCTGTAATCCCAGCTACTCAGGAAGCTGAGGCAGGAGAATTGCCTGAACCCAGGAGGCGGAGGTTGCGGTGAGCCGAGATCACGCCATTGCACTCCAGCCTGGGTAACAAGAGCGAAACTCTGTCTCAAAAAAAAAAAAAAAAAAAAAAGAACGTTGATTCTGGGCTGGACATGGTAGCTCATACCTGTAGTCCCAGCACTTTGGGAGGCTGAGGCAGGCGGATCACAAGGTAAGGAGTTCAAGACCAGCCTGGCCAACATGGAGAAACTCTGTCTCTAAAAATACAAAACTTAGCTGTGTGCAGTGATGCGTGCTTGTAGTCCTATCTACTAGGGAGGCTGAGGCAGGAGAATTGCTTGAACCTAGGAAGCAGAGGTTGCAGTGAACTAAGATCACACCACTGCACTCCAATCTGAGTGACAGAGTGAGACTTCATCTCAAAAAAAAAAAAAAAAAAAAAAAAAAAAAAAAAAAAAAAAACATTGATTCTGGCTGGGTGTGGTGGCTCATATCTGTAATCCCAACACTTTGGGAGGCCAAAATGGGTAGATCTCTTGAGGTCAGGAGTTTGAGACCAGCCTGGCCAAGATGGTGAAACCCTGTCTTTACTAAAAATACAAAAATTGCATTGAAACCAAATTATTTTCTGTGAAATAAAACAAGAAAAAAAAAATACAAAAATTAGCTGGTCTTCAGGTGCCTGTCTGTAATCCTAGATACTTGGGAGGCTGAGGCAGAAGAATTGCTTGACCTGGGAGGCAGAAATTGCAGTGAGCTGAGATCATGCCACTGCACTCCAGCCTGGACAACAAGAGTCTCAAAAAAACAAAAACAACCCCACATTGTTTTGAGACTTTGCAAACCTAAAATTGACTTTATTTTGATCTCATATTTGATATGCAGTCTGTTTACTTATAGAATTCCAGGTTGAAAATTCTTTCTACCCCATGTTAGGAAAGCATTATTTTTGTTTTTTGTTTTTCCGAGACGAAGTCTCACACTGCTACCCAGGCTGGAGTGTCGTGGTGTGATCTTGGCTCACTGCAACCTCCACCTCTCAAGTTCAAGCGATTCTCCTGCCTCAGCCTCCCTAGTAGCTGGGATTACAGGCATGTGCCACCATGCCCAGCTAATTTTTGTATTGTTCGTAGAAATGGGGTTTCACCATGTTGGCCAGTCTGGTCTGGAAATCCTGGGCTCAAACAGTCTGCCCGCCTCAGCCTCCCAAGGTGCTGGGGTTACAGGCATGAGCTGCTGCGCCCGGCTCTCAAGAACGTTGTTCTTTTCTCCAATCTTTTGTGTTTTTCTCCTCTTGCAGAAACTTCTCTCTTTTTCTTTTCTTTTTGAGACAGAGTCTCGCTCTGTGGCCCAGGCTGGAGTGCAGTGGCCTGCTGTCAGCTCACTGCAACCTCCGCCTCCTGAATTCAGGCAATTCTTATGCCTCCAGAGTGTCTGGGATTACAGGCACAAGCCACCATACCCAGCTAATTTTTGTATTTTCTTTTTTTTTTTTTTTTTTTGAGACGGAGTTTAGCTCTTGTTACCCAGGCTGGAGTGCAATGGCGCGATCTCGGCTCACCACAACCTCCACCTTCTGGGTTCAGGCATTCTCCTGCCTCAGCCTCCCGAGTAGCTGGGATTACAGGCACGCACCACCATGCCCAGCTAATTTTTGTATTTGTAGTAGAGACGGGGTTTCACCTTGTTGATCAGGATGGTCTCGATCTCTTGACCTCGTGATCCGCCCGCCTTGGCCTCCCAAAGTGCTGAGATTATAGGCGTGAGCCACTACGCCCGGCCCTATTTTTGTATTTTCAGTAGAGATGGGGTTTTACCATGTTCGCTAGGCTGGTCTCAAACTCCTGACCTTGTGATCAACCCACCTTGGCTTCCCAAAGTGCTGGGATTATAGGCATAAGCTACCACGCCCGGTGAGAAGCTTCTCTTTTCTTGCAGGTGCTCTGATTTTTTTTTTTTTTTTTTTAAATAAACACACAAGGTCTCACTCTGCCACCCAGGTTGGAGTACAGGGGAGCAAACAACCCATTGTAGCCTTGACCTCCCAGGCTAAGCAATCCTCCCACCTCCACCTCCTGAGTAGCTGGGACTGCAGGCATGTGCCACCTTGCCCAGTTGATTTTTAAACGTTTTGTAAAGACGAAGTCTCACTGTGTTGCCGAGGCTGGTCTTGAACTCCTGGGCTCAAACAGTCCTCCTGCCTTGGCCTCCCAAAGTGCTGGGATTACAGGTGCAAGTCACCATACACATTAGGTTTATATGCGAGTTCTTACATAGGCTGACCTATCCATGCTGCAGGCTCTATGGCAGGCATCCCCAAACTTTTTACACAGGGGGCCAGTTCACTGTCCCTCAGACCATTGGAGGGCCGCCACATACTGTGCTCCTCTCACTGACCACCGATGAAAGAGGTGCCCCTTCCTGAAGTGCGGCGGGGGGCCGGATAAATGGCCTCAGGGGGCCACAGTTCGGGGACGCCCGCCCTACGGAGTGGTCTCACTTCCTTCCCTCGCTGGTCTGTGCAGTGCGCAGTGGCAGCGTCATCTCAGCAGGCAGCTGGCGAGGCTGTGTGAGAGAGGCTGTGCCAGAGCCTAGGCACGGCCTTGCAACGCACAGATCATCTCTCCTGTTTCATGAGAAGGAATTTAGCAAAGAAACGCCATTCACATCTTTCTCTTTTAAAATCGAGTTGGCAGAGTAGCCTACCCTTTGTTGGGTGACGGGAGGGAAGGCCTGGCTCTCCAGTGCCTGCTGAGGCATCTGGAACAAGGAGTTGGCCTGTGCCCTCCTGCTCTGTGGCTCCTCTTCCTGCCTTTGTGCTGTTTCTGTGTCTTTTCTCTGTGCTTCCCTGGCGTGTCCTGCTCTTGAGAGTTGGATTTTCTGCTGTTCCTGTTCACTCTCATTGGTTCTTGAAATCCCTTTTCAGTGAGGAAGTCACATGTTCTCGCTGCCCTCGCTGTAGGAGGTACAGGTGGGAGCAGGTGCTGGGGGAGAGGGTCACGGCGTTTCTGCCTGCAGCGCGGTGGGCTCTGAGCCTCCCCCCCCCGCCTAAGAGGCCTGAGAGCTGGGTCACTAGTGCAAAGACTTACTCCGTGCCAGCCTGGGCATCAGGGTGGGCCCCTGTCTCTACAAAAATTAGAAGAAATTAGCTGGGTGTGGTGATGCCTGCCTGTGGTCTCAGCTACCCGGGAGGCTGAGCTGGAAGAATCACTTGAGCCCAGGAATTCAAGGCTGCAGTGAGCTGTGATTGCACCACTGCACTCCAGCCTCAGTGACAGAGCGAGATTCTATCTCAAAAGAAAGAAAAGCTCAATAATGTGGAGGGAGTGGTGTCCTAAAACATCAGCCCACACAGCGTTCCCGTGTGTAGAATGACTACAGGTCATTCACCTGGCCGGTCCTGGGCTGCTTTCTCCACCTGAAGTTGTAAGTACTTGGATATGTGGGAACTTCCTATGCTTTCTAATGTGATTTCTCAATTGTGTAAAAGCTTCAGTTACAGTTAAACCAAGATCTCAGCATCTTGCATCAAGATGATGGTTCATCCAAGAACAAGAGGGGCGTCCTGCCGAAGCACGCCACGAACGTGATGCGGTCCTGGCTCTTTCAGCACATCGGGGTAAGGACGGCTGGGCCGGCCGCCGCCTCACAGCCCTCCGCAACGCTGGCCTCTGGCTTACGTGTCGTGGAAAAGGGTTACTTCTCTGGGCTCAGAAAATCCAAGGCCTGACCTTCAGGACTTCGTGGCATGTCTATAACAGGGGGAGCTGGGGCAAGAGGCAAGAGGATGCTGCTGCGGGAAACATGGACAGTGAGGGTGGCCGCCAAGGAGCAAGCTGGGCGCGTGTGAGCTGTACGTGTGCATGAGACAGCCCACCGCGAAGGACGATGGGGTCAGGGGAGCCAGAGAAGTGGGCAGAGAAAGGGTGTCAGGGTGTTCTTGGGCAGCAGCTGGGGAAGTCGCCCTGTTTTTGTGCGTTGGATTCGCAGGGAAGCTGAGATCAGTTAGAGACATCACAGGGCCGAGTGCACCCACAGGGCCCCATGGTGGGTTGCCTTTCGCTGGAAGGGAGTGTGTCCCGGAGGGAGCGCCTGTTTGCTCAGCATGTGTACCTGGCTCCCTCCCCCGGGGCATGACCGTGGGTTCTCCCTGTCCCCAGGACATCTTAGGAAGCGCAGTGGTGGGCCGGCTTGCTGAGTTGATGGGGGAAACCCGCTCTGCACGCTGTGTGGCACCATTGCTGCCAGCCTGCTGACCCAGGGTGGAAGAGAGCAGGCGGGGCTCTCCTAGGGCAAGCATGGGGAGACTGAGGCAGGAGGCAGACGCCAGTTTGGCTTGACCATCAGGTTGCCCTTCTCCCCCCGCTGTCGCCGCTGACGGGCGTGGGGCCGTGACTGTACCCTCCCATCTTCTCAGCCTCCTCCTCCCCGTTTTCTGTGCTGCATCTGCCCTGCCCTCCTGCTGCCTCCTCTCCTGGGTGCCTCCACTGGGGCTGAGGCCTGCGTGTCCCTGGCACTCTGTCCTTGCCCTCCCTGACCGTGGGCCCCCGAACCTGTGGCTATCTCACCGTCTCATGGCCTGCTTTCCTGTGGCTGCCTCGGGCTCCTCGGTTGAGGACGGGGTCCATGGGAGTGACTGGCTGAGGGCTCGTGATGGTGGATGGTGTTGCTGAGCTGTCCTGGGAGGGGAAGGGCCCCCTGCGGGGCGGAAGGCCTGGCAGGAGCCTGGGGTGCATCCCCTGCTTGTCATCCCTGGCCTCTTGGTCTCCACTACGCCGCTTCCGTGGGCTAAGGTGATGAGCCAGCCACACATGTCAGGAGAAAGAAGTGCTACCTTTAAGCAGTGGGGCCATTCCGAGAAATTGGCCCAAGGACATCAGTCACAAGAAAACAGAAAGTTTTATGTGTAAAAATGTTGCCTTGTTCAGTATCATCATGGAAAGCGGGTCGGCATGTCTGTTCGATGGAGTATCATGTGGGTAGTTGGCATGATGAATGGGGGGCTCTGAGCAGTCAGGAGGTGTGGTAAATTACAGTAGGAAAAAGGCAGCATGTAGGTATTTTTACATAAACTGTGATGATTATAACCAATAACATGTATAATTATAGAAGAGCACAGAGTGGCGGGATCGGGCAGGTGCTCTCCTGTTAGGGTTCCCGTCACGTTTTCCGAAGCGCTCAGCCCCGCTCACCGCGTCCGGCGAAGCAGCCGCGCGTCCTCTGCGGCGTTCGTTCTCCGTCCCTGCTCACCCTCGTTTCCTGGCAGCGCCCGGCCCGCTGTAGTGTCCCGTACACTCGAGCGTGGCATCTGTTGCTGCTGTTTTCTGCTCGTGTGCCCGAGTTTCCTGCCCGCTTTCTATTTTATGGGCTTTTTAAAGGGGGAGAACGATATTGATGTTTCCGTGACCTTGAGCTCAGCGCCACACACTAGCGGACAGAGTCAGGTTGAGTCATGCTGCCAGTGAGTTTGAGGAAAGAAACACGTCACTGCTGAGGCGCATCCGAGGCCGAGCCGTCCCTCCCGTGAGAGAAGCCGGGCCGTTTCCATGTCGCCGAGCGTTCCTTTCACATCAAAGCCACGGGAAACTCCCACTGCTGACTTTGTTGGTGCCACTCATTCTCTTGGGTCCCTGTTGCTCCAAAATCAGGGACTTCAGTGCATTCAGGTTTACAGTAAATGTCGTGTTGATTTCCACATATAGACAGTCATCAGTCTTGGAGAAATTATTTAGCATACCTATATATCATTTTTGGTTAATACTTCTGTGAGTTTTGCTATTTAGTTCTGGTTAGTATTTTCTTTTTTTTTCTTTTTTTTTTTTTTTTACATGGAGTGTTGCTCTTGTTGCCCAGGCTGGAGTGCAATGGTGTGATCTCAGCTCACTGCAGCCTCCACCTCCCAGGTTCAGGCAGTTCTCCTGCCTCAGCCTCCACGGGCACCTACCTCCACGCCAGGCTAATTTTTTGTATGTATAGTAGAGATGGGATTTCACCATGGTGGCCAGGCTGGTCTTGAACTCCCTGACCTCAAGTGATCCACCTGCCCTGGCCTTCCAAAGTGCTGGGACTAAAGGCATGAGCCACTGCATGTGGCCCTCTGGTTGAAGTTTTTGTATGTGAAATGTTTCAATCACACATAAAAAAAGAGGAGTGTAACAGGCACTCCCGTCGCCGGCCCTGGGTTCCACTTTTTACTGACAGCACAGGTTCACAGGCAGAGACCCGATGCCGAGAAAGCCGTCGATGGCATCAGCTCATCCCAGTGTCAGTTTACTCTTGTGGTACCAGTGATGGAAGCATGTCCCCCAGCCTGCCTGGCCATTTCCTGCTCCACCCACTTCACCAGCTGCGGGATGGGGGGTTTGCAAACTCTCCATGCCCCGGTCTCCTCCTCTGTAAGATAAAGCCAATGACAGTGACCAGCTCAGGAGGTGCTTCCGAGGAATCAGTGAATTACTATAGCAGGGACCAAGGTAATAGAAATGTGCTAATGTGTTGTTGTGTTGCCGGTGACAGAGGTTCTCGGGCCAAACTCATCCATCCGTCCTCTTTAAATGGATATCATTTATTGTTCATAAGTTAAAGTTCAATAACATTGGTAGAAAATCTATAGATGGCATCAAGCCTGGCACAGACTTACCGCTGGGCTGTGCAGCTGCTCCTGGTGATGCCGCCGCTGTTATTGTCACCTTTGAACTGTTAGATGTGGGGGCAGTCCTCCTTGGCCTGTGCACTGACCAGCCACTGCGGCACTAGGACGTTCGCGGGGACCAGGAGAAAGACTTTGTTCTGTAAGACTACAGTTAGGTTTTGGCTAGAAGCACTATTGCTGTTACCATTAGTTTCAGATGATGATGTAATGCTCACACTTTGTCTAGATCCTCCCGATTTCCTCTGTAAACTCGAAGGCCGTAGTAACCTTCCTTTTTATTTTCAGCATCCCTACCCAACAGAGGACGAGAAAAAACAGATTGCTGCTCAGACAAATTTGACACTACTCCAAGTCAACAACTGGTAAGGTGCCCCGCTTTCCGAAGTCGTGCCCGTCAGCACGGGAGAGCGCTCGGAAACCCTGACGCTAACACGTGGTGAAAGGTTGCTGAAAATACGGGTCTCCCTTTTTTCTTTTTCCCAATTGAAATGGGGTCTTGCTGTGTTGCCCAAGCTGGTCTCAAACTCCTGGCCTCAAGTGATCCTCCCACCTCAGCTTCTCAAAGTGCTGGGATCATGGGTATGAGTCACTGTGCCTGACTAAAAATGTGAGTTCTTTTAATGGGCAGTGGGAGCAGGAGACTGAGGAACAAACCAGATTTCACCTAAGTTTTCCTGTCCGTACCTCATGATGGACTGCACCCTGCCTGCGTCTTTGGAACTGTTCTCTAGGGTGCTACTCCCCAGGCCCACGTTCGTACCACCCGTGATGTGTTAGCAGATGGGCCTCTGGATGGCGGGAGGCCAACGGTGACAGGCCCTGCCCAGGGTAGGAACCTCTGCCGCTCTGTCTTGTGGGGGCCCTGCTCCCTGCATGGCAGTCCGGGAGCCACTCCCAAGACAGAAACACCCAAGAGGACATTTCATGAAGCAGCCCCTTCTAGTTCTGCCGTCAGACGTTGCTGGGGACGCCTGCACTCTGGCAGACGTTTTTCCTTCAGTAAGAGCTTGTGCGTGTGCCTACGTGGCACTCCCGTGGGGGGCGGGCTTCCATTTTGGTTGTTAGTCACTTGTCTCATGTTTATTTACTTGCTGGTCAGCTGTAGGGCCAATGTCATCTTCATAAAACCGGCATGCATCGCAGAAGAAAGCACAAATTCTTCCCGTTGTAGACGTTACTGTCTTTATCTTCACTGGGCTAAAATGTGAACTTGCTGAAGTTCCAGCAGGAAAGTCTTCGTGTTTGTGCAGGGGCACATTTGGGAGGCGGGCTTCGGGGTGGCGTCGGCACTTCCCTGGTCCTGCGTTCTTGCCATTCTTGTAGATTTGAGTAGTCACAACAGACTATACTATTTGAGTCATTTTCTGTTAAATCTTTTTTTTTTTTTTTTTTTTTTTTGAGACAGAGTCTTGCTCTGTTGCCCAGGCTGGACTGCAGTGGCACAATCTCGGCTCACTGCAACCTCTGCCTCCTGGGTTCAAGTGATTCTCCTGCCTCAGCCTCCCGAGTCGCTGGGATTACAGGCAGGTACCACTGCTCCCAGACAAATCTTTTGAACAGAATATTAACAAAAATTTCAAGATTGTGAGTATGTTGTTGCTGCGATGGTTGTCACATACTGCTCATGTTCTGGGTTGTTTCCCTGGAGTCTATGTCGAAATCACATATGTTGGCGGGGCACACCGTGGTGGAGGGGCTGAGGGGAGGATGCTGGACACGGGCCTCTCCGGACGCGCTGGTGCCCCTAGCCGCTCAGCACCCTCCTGCCTTTCTTCATTCGTCATTGCCTGATGTTCCTGACTTGCTGCTCTGTTGCCTTAACAAATTGTCTTATCTAGGTTTGGCAGCAACTTTTAATTTTTAATATTAATTACAGTTTAGTAATATACCTTAAATTCCAAATTTCTGAAATCTTTAATATTTGTAGCTACTTTTACTGTTTGTGATTTTCTTTTCTTTTGTATTTGCAAACATTACATCTTGGAGTGAGATGTACACACCCATCATTAGCTCGTGCCTCTGCTGGTAGCAGCTTTGAAGAAGAAGGATTTAAAAACACATTACAGTAGCGGCGGGGCCTTTCCACCCAGGTCTTGCTGGGGTCTCAGGTGGCCGTGGAGCTGGTGCTGCAGGGACCTCCGGGTTCCTCTAAATGAAGCATGGCGGCATCCAAGCTGGCTCATTATTATTCGACTGTGTCCTCATATAATCTTGTAGATGTTTTAAAATCTTGGACTTTTAAAATGAAGCAACCTTAGAGCTGATCCAGTTCTAGTTCTGTTGTTTTGCAGAGGGGGGTATTAAAAAAGGAGAGATGTTGTCACAGTGACAAGCCAGAGTAGAGTCTGAGCCTAAAAGCAATGCTTTTCTTTCCCTGACACCGTGAGCATGGCTACTCAGCTATCCAGATGTAGAAGCCTGGCTTTTCCTAGACGGGCAGCGTGTGACTCCAGCGGGGGTCAGCTACTTTATCACTCTGTGACCGGAAACAGAAGATGGAAATGGGGCCTTAAGCGTGGCGGGTCCCGCCACTGCTGTGTTAGGTCAGGGATAGTGTGGGAGTCTGGGCCGGTTCCGCTTTGATAGGCGCTTTCACGGGACGGTGGTTGTTTTTCTTTCTGTTTCTTCCCGTTGCAGTTCCTTTTGTAGCAGAGTGGCCTGGTCAGTGGCATAAGGTGGTGGTTGTGGCAGAACGTGTGTCTGGGTCATTATCTTCATGCTCCAGTCACCGCAGGAGGAAAAGCCAGCCTGGGGATTTGAGTCTCCTTGTACTTTCTTATATCCAAGGGCAACAGCTAAGAGCATAAGAATGGGAACCGGCTGGGCGCGGTGGCTCACGCCTGTAATCCCAGCACTCTGGGAGGCCGAGGCGGGCAGATCACCTGAGGTCGGGAGTTTGAGGCCAGCCTGACCAACATGGAGAAACCCTGTCTCTACTAAAAATACAAAAATTAGCTGGATGTGGTGGTACGTTCCTGTAATCCCAGCTACTTGGGAGGCTGAGGGAGGAGAATCTCTTGAACCTGGGAGGCAGAGGTGGCCATGAGCCAAGATGGCGCCATTGCACTGCAGCCTAGGCAACAAGAGTGAAACTGTCTTAAAAAAAAAAAAAAAAAAAAAAAAAAGGCCGGGCACGGTGGCTCACACCTGTAATCCCAGCACTTTGGGAGGCCGAGGCGGGTGGATCACGAGGTCAACAGATCGAGACCATCCTGGTCAACATGGTGAAACCCCGTCTCTACTAAAAATACAAAAAATTAGCTGGGCATGGTGGCGCGTGCCTGTAATCCCAGCTACTCAGGAGGCTGAGGCAGGAGAATTGCCTGAACCCAGGAGGCGGAGGTTGTACCATTGCACTCCAGCCTGGGTAATAAGAGTGAAACTCTGTCTCAAAAAAAAAAAAAAAAAAGTAGCATTTAAGAATGGGAACTGAAGACAGCAGCCTTTAATCTTAAATGTGTTTTGGTATTGTTGCCATGCTCATTTGATATGAAACAGTGTCCAGACTGCCTTGCCAGCATGTGATTGCTGCTGGTCCTGTTCTCTGTGGAGTATTACCACAGGCCTGAGTTCTTAGTCTCATAGAGCCACTAGCATCTGTCGGGGATTCCGTCACTGCTGGTGCCTAGGTGCTGAGCTAGTCCTGTGTCGAGGGCCACTGGATGACTTATGCCTTCAGTCATCTCAGAAACAGCTCGTCGCTGGGAAGCGTTTTTGAAAAGATGCAGCTCTTGCCTTAGATCGTGCTTTGTGGTAAAGCCAGAGTTGGCAGTCCTGTTCCCTGACGGCTCAGACAGGTTGCCACCCAAGGCTCGGCCACACTGGTGATCTGGTGACGTCCAGACGAGTGCAAACTGCCCGATGGTCTCAGGCATGATGGCACTACAGGATACAGAAAGTCTTGCTTGTTTAACGTTTTCCCTCCTTAGGGAAAATAGTGTCAAATTCGCAGATTCAACAGGATCATCTGTGTTCTTATGAGCGTCCAGTGGACAAACATGCACTAAATGAGTTGATACAAAAAAAAAAAAAAAAAAGTCCAGGGATGAGTTGGTCCTTATGTAAATGATTTTCAAACAACAGGCCCGGTGTTTCTGACCATTTAGATGATTTAGAATAGCTGTCGAGTCCTCTTAAGTAGTTAACGATAGTGGAGAGCATGCGTTATTCTTTGTAGCGTGGTTCGCAGAGTGTGTGTTTGTTAGAAGGATTTGTTAGTCCTGTATAGGGTCTTTACGAAGGCTGTTTTGATGGAAGCTTCCCTTTGTTGACTCCAGGTTCATCAATGCCAGAAGACGAATTCTTCAGCCAATGTTGGATTCAAGTTGTTCAGAAACCCCCAAAACAAAGAAAAAAACTGCTCAGAACCGACCAGTTCAGAGGTTTTGGCCCGACTCTATTGCATCAGGAGTCGCCCAGCCACCGCCGAGCGAGCTCACCATGTCAGAAGGTACGGGCGGCCGGCCAAGGCCAGACATGGTGCACCGTGGGGTGGGGATTCTGAACAGGAGGCCTGGATCGGGCCTGTTAGCTATGAGCCTCAGGTAGTGCGGTGAGCCAAAGTACCTGTCGTTCTCTTTCTCTGCAACAAAAGCACAGGCAACCTGCATCCTGGCTGCGTGGGAGCTCTTGGTAAGAGTTAGGAGCACCAGTAGTAGGGAATGTAAAACATGTGACAGAGATAGGCCATCATTCGTTCTGTTCACAGACGCAGCCGTGGGCAGTGGATTCTCCTTTACTTCCGCATTTGCTGTCCTCTTCGCTCCGGCTTTGGGTGCCGAGGAGGGAATTACCCTGTTGCCACCGCTTGGCTTCTTTCTCTTCATCCGCCTCGCCCTTCTCTTGTTTTGCTCATTCCCTGTGACCTCTGCCCTCCGTCCCTGTCACAGGCAGCCGTTCTGACGAGTTTTGTAGGAATCTTTCTCTTTGTTTTTTTTTTTTTGAGATGGAGTCTCATTCTGTTGCCCAGGCTGGACTGCAGTGGTGTGATCTTGGCTCACAGCAACCTCCGCCTCCTGGGTTTAAGCAAGTCTGCCTCAGCCTCTCAAATAGCTGGAATTACAGGCACCTGCCACCAGGCCTGGCTAATTTTTTTTTTTTTTTTTTTTTTTGTATTTTTAGTAGAGACAGGGTTTCACCATGGTCTGGAAATCCTGACCTCGTGATCCACCTGCGTGGGCCTCCCAGTGTACTGGAATGACAGGCACGGGCCACTGCGCCCAGCCCTCACGCATGTGTTTTGAAGTGTATGTAAATGGTGGTATTTCCTCTTCTTTCTTTTTTCACTTAGGCAAGTTTGGGGCCATTATTTCTTTAACCACATTTTCTGACCTTCCTCCTGCAGCCCTTTTCAGGGACTTCAGTGCCTGTGTATCAGGTGGTGAAAAGTCTCACACATGGCTGATGTGCTTTTCCGCTTGTTAGAGTCTGTTTCATTTCGGGTGATTTCCGTGACTCCTTCCACTGCACCGCTTCATCTTACGCTGCTCCCGTCCGGTGTGGTTTTCATCTTACACGCCGTAGTTTCCGTCCCTCCAGAAGCTCTCTTCCAGTCTTTTATGTCTTCTGTGAGTCCGCTTAAGTTTGGAGCACGCAGAATACAGGAGCAGCAGCTGCTCTGATGTCCTCCTCTCCGAATTCCAACACCTGTCAGCTCGGGGCAGTTTTAGCTGATTGCTTTTCCTCCTGATGATGGTTTCCCTGCTTCTTGTCATGGCTGGTCATCTGACTGGACGCCAGGCACTGGGAACTTTTTGGAGGTGCTGGATGTTTTTGTATTCCTGTAAGTCTTCTTGAGCTTTGCTCTGCAGGGCACTTAGGTCACTTGGGAGCCATGTGATCCTTGTGGGTGGTCCACAGCAGTGTTCAGGCTAGCAACGGATTATCCCAGCAGAGGCCAGACCCTCCTGAGTTTTCCATCCAGTGGCTGCAGACAGTGAGTTTTCCAGGCTGCCTGTGTGAGTGCTGGGCTCTGTTCCCTGTGGTCTTTTCCCCCAGCCTCAGGTCCGTTCCTTGCAGCAGGAACTGATGGGTTCTCCACTGAATGCGCAGGGGACGTTCCGTGGTGGTGCTGGCCCCCAGGTTAGGATGGATTGTGAATCACACTTACTTTGTGTCCATTTAGCCTTTCTTGAGGTGTGTTACATGCATTTAAAGCAAGTTTCCTCAAGTACTGCTGTGGCTGCTTCGTTCAGGTTTTGATGTGTAGTGGTCTCCTGTTTAAAGAACGAATAGCTCGGGAGTTATTATTCCCTTTCCTTCCCCTCTTTTTCTGTCTCTGTCAGAAAAGGCAATGCCTATCTACTGAGGAAAGACGCTGAAACAAGAATATTCAGTGAAAAGTGAATCTCTCTTCCATCCTGGCTTCTACTTCTCCAGAGACAGTCATTGTTAGCAGCTTCCTGCACAGCCTCCAGTGCATACATGATAGGATATTGTGTGCACAGACACAGATGAATGGGTGAATGTGTAGCCCTTAAAATCTTACCCAGATGTTAGCATATCATATAACAGTCTCTATTTTCCTTCATTACTCATTAATGTGTCTCGCAGAATTTTACAAATTAGTAAACGTTGGTCCACTGTATGGTTTAGTAGCAGCATGGCATTCCATTGTTCAGTGTTTTATTTTTTTGAGACAGGGTCTTGCTCTGTCACCCAGGTTGGGGAGTGCAGTGGGGTGAGCTTGGCTCACTGCAGCCCCTTGACCTCCTGGACTCAAGCGAGCCTCCCACCTCAGCCTCCTGAGTAGCTGGGACTACAGGCATGCACCACCATGCCCGGGTAATTTTTCAATGTTTTGTAGAGATGGGGCCTCCCATGTTGCCCAGGCTGGCTGGTCTGGAACTCCTGGCTCAAGGGATCCTCCCTCCTTGGCCTCTCAAAGGGCTGGGGTTACAGTTGTGAGCCGCTGTGCCCATCCTCTCCGTTGTTGAGCGTTTTCATGTAGGCCTTGCTCCTGGATGTCTGGGCTGCTTTCATCGTCTGCCGTCAGGCTCTGCAGCAGGCACCGGCATGCCACAGCGTTTCCTTCTGTCCCTTCATGCAGGTCCTCCTCCCTCTTCCGGTATTCTCCTTTTTACTTTGTTTCTCCACTGTGTTCTTCTTGTGTGTCTTCCTTCTGTGTTTTTGGGTTTTCTTGTTATTACAATACAGCTTGCTCCACGAATCTGTTCTTTATAGCCCTGATCTCCACGGAGGGTGTTCTTAGGCCAAGGCCTTATTAGCTAAGGGTGGTCCGAGGCCGATTTCAGAAACAGTGTCTTCAATTCCTGTTGAACATTCCCCAAACATATGCAGGTCTTTCTTTAACTTTAGGACAAACAAGCAAACAGCACCCAGCTGAGTAAGGAAGTGTTTCTCTGTGAGCACTAATTTAAATAGTGACACACCCTCATCCTGCTGCAGGAGCTGTTGTGACCATCACCACGCCCGTGAACATGAACGTGGACAGCCTGCAGTCTCTGTCCTCGGACGGGGCCACCCTGGCGGTGCAGCAGGTCATGATGGCAGGGCAGAGCGAGGACGAGTCTGTGGACAGCACAGAGGAGGAGGCGGGCGCCCTGGCCCCTGCGCACATCAGCGGGCTCGTCTTGGAGAACAGCGACTCCCTGCAGTAGGACGGAGGAGCAGACTCACCTGACTTCTCATAGTTTGCACAGCAAACATTTTACACAGTTTTATTTCTAATATGTTTTATATGTAGATATAGAAGAGTGCACTTTTGTATTTCATAGTAAGCTTAAAGCGCGTCTTTGCCGGTGCAGCGACTTCTTTCAAGTGTGTGTGTGTTGTGTGCGTGTGCACACACGTGTGTGTGTTGTGTGTGTATGTACACGTGTGCGTGTGTCTGTGTGTTGTGTGCGCATGCACACGTGTGTGTGTGTGTTTAGTGTGTGTGGATTTTTAAAGAAATTCTTTAAAGGTTTAACGCTAGATATGTGAGGAATGACACACCACTCCCTCCCTACCTTGAATCCCTAATTAGATTAAGGAAAATCGCTGCCATTTTCTAAACCGTGACGCAGTTTTCACTTAGTTCTGTGGTTCCAGCAGATTTCAGTGGGCTGTTTTTTTTGTGTGGCCCATGGATTTGAAAGAAGCTTCTGCACCCGACACTGCCGGTGTGCGGGGACCGCAGCACACGCCTGGACTGAGTGTGGTTTCATCGTGGTGGATGGACGGCGAGCTCGGCAAGCCCAGTCCCCTCGTGTTCAGTGAGCCTGTTTCATTCGCTATATATAAAAAGAAACTCCTATTTTTACCTTGCTGGAATTATTGGATAAAAAAGCTATTTTTATAAATTCGTTATAAATTGGATGATGACTATATTGAGGATAAAATTTCTAGAGAAGAAACAATACATGCTTGCTATTAATATTTCAATTTGGAATGTTTTGAAGTGACCAAATTTAATGAACCTGCCCAAAGTTAGCCACCGTCCCCTGGTTCTTTGCTCTCCCAGGGTAGTGATGAACATTTACTGCTATAAAAGAAACAGCTATTTCATGAAACTTTGGTATCTGCACATTTTTGTTGGTATGTAATGCTCAGATTGCATTTTACACTTGATGTAAACATATATTGAAAGGTATTTGTTAAATAGGACTTCAGGTAAGTGAGGTGAAGTGGTAGCCAGTGATGAGCTAGGAGCTGTCACCACACATACTCTAGTTCCATTCAAATCTGACCACAGTTGCATGGTTGTTTTACCATGTTAGCTGTGTATTGTTTTAGAAGTTTTAAGTTCAAAATATGTTATGCATAGAATGTTTATTATAAGCTAATATAAAGTGTGCTCTGCCCCACTGGCCCAGAGCTAGGGTAAACAGCAGATACTCAGACTTAATGACTTAATTGGCAGACACCCCTGGAGTCACAGCAGCGGGTTGGTCTGGCAAGGGCGTAGTGGTGGGCCCCCACGGGCTGGGTCTCACGTGTGCATTTGCGCCTGTCTCCTGCCTGCTGTCAGTGTTTGTGATACATTGTCGCTTTCGACTTCCCAGAGCCCTCCCACTCACTTGACCACGTGGGATTTGGAATAACTGTAGGCCTTCTGTTTCCTGGCAACGAGATGAACTGAGAGAGCGGGCTGGGTCCTGTTTTGTTTGGTTTTGATTTGTTTTTATTTGTTTACTTAGGAGTGGGGCTTTTTCTCAGACAGAAAACAGGCCACGGTGTTTCATACAGAATGTCTTTATATCATCCGAAATGGTATGGCTGAAGTTCGTTTGTTTGTAACGTCAGGAATATCGTCAGTTGTTGAGATTCAGCAGTAGTGATTGTTTGTAAGCCAAGGGATATTTTAAGCTAGTGAAGAGGTTTTTTTTCTGGAACTGATTTTTCCCAAAAAATATATTAATTGAAGTTAATCATAGGGGAGTACTTTCAGATAACTTAGAAGTCAGCAGGAAACACACAGAAATTTATTTAAAAGTCTTTCAGGCGTTTTAACTGAAAGACTTGATTATCAGTTCTTTCAGGGAATGACATCTTTTTTTTTTTTTGAGATGGAATTTCGCTCTCGTTGCCCAGGCTGGAGTGATCCACCCCCCTCTGCCTCCAAAGTGCTGGGATTATAGGCATGAGCCACTGCGCCTGGCCAAGAATCATATCTTAAAGCCACCATTGCATTCCTTGTTTGTGAACCGTTTTTTTCCTATTTTAAGTCAGGTCTACAAGATCATTTTAACTTAAATTCCAACTTTGTTGGACTTCTTAGAATGAGCAGTCGTGAAAGCCAGCCAGCCTTTCCTCCTCCTGTCACCTCAACAGCCTGCTCTTTAGTGTGGATCAGTGGAAGCCAGTCACAAAAGGTAGACTGATGTATAGGTCACTGTTTCTTTACCCTACCAGAAATCACATTCACTGAGCAGTGGGTTGAATTTAAGAGCACTGCCTGAGCCTGGCGTGGCAGGGTCTGCCTATAGTTCCACCTACTCAGGAGTGTGAGGCAGAGGCTGGCGTGTGCCCAGGAGTTTGAGGCTGCAGTGTGTTATGCTTGCACCTGTGAGTAGCCACTGTGCCCCATCTTGGGCAATATAGTGAGACCCCGTCTATAAAAAAAGAGGGCACTGCATGAATCTAGGTGGCACTGGGAAGCTGTGGCCTGAGAGTTAAAGGTTCGTGCTGAATGGTACAGTGTACACACTCTCCAGCTGAAAACTTCCTTCAGCTTTCCTCAATTCTTACTCAATTCAGAGGAGTAGGGATAAAGATGATTTCAGGAGAGGGTACTTATGGGCATAGCCTGAGTTTACTTTAAACTCTCTCCATGCATAACCAGGGTGCTTTGAAGCAGCTTTGCAAGCCGTTTCAGTTTGTAAAATCACTGCCCGGCATGTTTGAGTTCAGTTGGCACCCTTGGACAGTGGAGAGAGTCTGTAAAAGTGTGACCCCCCTCTTAAGATTTCATTTTAAATGATCAGATTTGACCCCAGTGTAATTCTTGTTGAATTTTTCCCTCTGAAGGCTCCCTTCGAATGTGTCTTGAGGCCACACTGAGCATGTTGCTGTTATTCGTAGCCTGCACCTGTGGGGCAGCAGCTGCCGGGCTGGCTGTGCTGGGTCCCTGCACGCTCCCGCCAAGGGACTAGCTTGGCCTTTGCGTTTTGATTCCAGATAGTAAGATGAGTGGAAGTGTTGTTCTAGTATGCAAAGGAAATCCTGTGGCTAAGGGATCCAGGAATCGTGTCTGTGTGACCTGAGAGTGATCCGCCTCCTGCCTGCGTGAGGAAGCAGTGGGCGCTTTTCCTTGAGACAAACTCCAGGGCGCCCAGCAGGGGTTCTGCCCCTTGCGAAGGCCCATTCCTGGCACTTAGAGACAGAAAGAAGTCAGCAATCTTCTTTTGTTCTTGTTATGTTGGGTCTTTGAAACTGACAATCTTTGAAATGTGAATACTGTAACAATATGTTTCCTTGGATTGTTGTCTTTAAAAGGATTTTTGTGAAGCAATTGATCTATCAACGCAAAAAAATTAAAAATAGAAACGTGATTTATGGATGTTTTATTTTATAAAGCTCATGTCACCAAAAGCTGCTTTTCCATTTTATGTAAGACACTGAGATTGTTTTCCTGTTTTCTGGTGACATGTGGGTTTGTGTTGGCCCCTGCATATTTAAAAAACTAGGACCACGTTGCATGAGGCTATTCAGGGCCATGTACGTGTCCAAGAAGCTTTTCTTAAATTGCTTACTTGGTTCAGTCATTGGTTTTCCAGGCAGAAAATGGAAACAGGTAGCTTTTACTTTTTATTATAGTTTTTCATAAATCTAATTATTCTGATAGTTTATGAGAAGGAAATGATTCATCAGTGAGGTAATGTAACACCTTTCATGGTTGATATTATAAGATGTCACGACAAGGCTGTTTCTGAAGATTTCAAAGGTGCATCAACACAATTTCAGAGGGTTTTTCATCTTTGTTGTCCAGGGTGCTATAACTCCCAACAACTGTTCATGCTTAAAAGCTAAAGTCAGCAGACTTAAGTATTTTAAAAACGACATTCAGGCCAGGCACAGTGGCTCACGCCTGTAATCCCATCACTTTGGGAGGCCCAGGCAGGTGGATCACCTGAGGTCCGGGAGTTCAACACCAGGCTGGCCAACGTGAAGAAACCCCATCTCTGCTAAAAAATACAAAAATTAGCCAGGCATGGTGGCACACACCTGTAATCCAGTTACTCGGGAGGCTGAGGCAGGAGAATCGCTTGAGCCCGGGAGGCGAGGCTGCAGTGAGGTGAGATTGCACCACACCATTCCAGCTAGGAGACGGAGCAAGAGTCCATCTCAAAAAAAAAAAAACAAAACAAAAAAACAAACCTACATCCAAAATTGTGAATTTTGCTAGCGATTAGTAGTGACAGCTGACTGTATGGTTTCAGAAAATGTTTTGATTGATTTGCAGAAGACTGAAGCACGGTGTTGTGTCTTCAGCTCCCTCAGGTTGAGGTGAGAGACGGACACAGACTTTACTCCTGTGGGGCCCTGGGCAGCCCCAGCCTCTCCAGGCCTCCAGGGCTTCATTTGTGAAAAGGAAGAATTGGCTTATCAGGTTTATTCCAGCTTGGCAATGATGTTTACGACGAGTAAGATTCTATCTATCTAAAGAGAGATGAGGAAATGAGTAATACTCTGGCAATTCAAGAAAATAAGAAAGATTTGGATTAAATATTTAGTTTTTCACACTTGTTTTTGAATTATATAAATGTCATAAATAATGTCTACTGTTTTTAGCTTTCATGCCATTCTATTCTATGTACTCTCAGAAGAAATTCTTAGTACAAGGCCCAGCGCGGCGGGGTGGCTCGCGCCTGGAATCCCAGCACTTTGGGAGGTTGAGGCGGGTGGATCACCTGAGATCAGGAGTTTGAGACCAGCTTGGCCAACATGGTGAAACCTGTCTCTGCTAAAAATACAAAAGCTATCCAGGCATTGTGGTGGGCACCTGTAATTCCAGCTACTCGGGAAGCGGAGGCAGGAGAATCTCTTGAACCGAGCAGGCGGAGGTTGCACTGAGCCGAGATCACACCACCGCACTCCAGCCTGGGGGATAGAGTGAGACTCTTATCTCCAAAAAAAAAAAAAATTCTTACTAGAAATTATTTTTGCCTATGCACAGTGAGATCTTCTTACCTTCACCAAGACCTAGAATCTCCATATCATTGTTTAACTAAAATCTGTGAGGCTCGGAGTATCTAGCATCTAAGCACAGGTGACTGAAAACAGTGAGTGCTGGGCCCGGGGGTGGCGTCTGGGCCTGGGGCC